GAGATATAAGCAACCAAAGACCTCCATTACTTCTGAGTCCTGTAGCGTTCCGCCCTGCACCATAGTTTCCCCGAGACAAACAAATAATCTAATAGCTATATTCTGTCAGTGATGCTCGCATAAATTGCTAACCACTGACAATCTGTATGTGGTGCGGCGTGTAACCTTTATTGGGCTACCTCACCATTCTCCCCTCGTAGACTGTCGAACAAGGTACCATTTATTTTTAAATGAGTACTTGATATTAAAACCAACTTGGGATTAGGACCAGTGGTTGGATGCTTAATTTCTGTTATAAGAATTGGTAATCCAGCTGCTAAAATGATTAAATTTGTAATACTCGGGCCGAATAGAAAAAAGATGCATTTAAGTGGAATTGAACTGGTAGAATTCTTCAATACAAATGAAAAATAACGTATTTAGTAACACTTGTTTAAGCCAGACTGACTTCAGAAGTGGAGTTGCTTAAGATATTTTAAATACTGTTAAGAGAGCTTTTAATGCACACAAGAAATAAGTAATATATATATATATATATATATATATATATATATATATATATATATAAACACTAGCTATGGCTACAGTATATGTAGTGACATTTCAACCCTAACGGTTATGTGACCATGAATCTCTACCGATTATATAAACCAACGAATTCGGAAATTAGAAAAAGTTAATTAAAAAACTGGATAGACAGACCTTGGCCAGATTATTCAAACAAACATGTTTCAAAGTATTCTGGTTTACGAAATATATATAAGAGAGAGAGAGGTGTATGAATAAAAACAAGCCAATTCGTCCCATCTTCTGATGGACTTGATCAAGGCAAATGTAAGGATTTTATTTTGCAACAAGAATCCATAGACAAATGTAAAAATATCGTTAATTATTATATTTCATGGATATATTTTTTTTTAATATATTTTTACACGATATATATATATATATATATATATATATATATATATATATATATATATATATATATATATATATATATATATATGTATGTGTGACATATAGATTATTTAAAAATATATCAATATCAGAGATAGAGCTAAATATATTTATATTGGATTGATGCAAAATTATAATATGGGCTTACGCTTTTGTCTGACGATCGCAAAAGCGTGAAACCCAGGGTCACAATCTCACATCAATCCAACCAAATAAATAAATATATATGGTGCCAACAAATCATAATTATCAATGTGTATTTACATATTTCCTGTCCCATCTGTAATGGCAAAGGAGGTAAATAAAGTTAGCAAATTTACGAATGGTTATTTTTCTTAGTCGTTTTAATATAAGATAAAATATTTATCTGCATGTAGACAAAATTAGTTCCCGAGCAAAATGAACCGTTTAAATAATCAGTTAATTTACTCCAAAATTTCTTAGATTGCAGTCGTATTTGTTCAAGCCTTTCATGTGAAGCACTCAGATACAAGTGATCATCTTGCTTCATTTTTTTTTTTTTTTTTTGAAATAGTCTTTGTCGTCGTTGTATTTGTTCGGTTGCTAATCTTTTTTCTTCCGAAAGATATTTCCATTTCACTGTTACATCGAACACAAAATTAAAAAACAAAGATATTGAGTAAAAAGATCTATAGATACCAGAAGTAATCAATGTATCGTAGATACCACTGAACGTCTAATAAAGGGAAAAGATTAATTAAAATTGTCCACCTGTCTCAGTACATTGTTTCTTCCAAGACTTGTTTCATTGCATATCACTATTAAAACTAAGAAAATGTCATCAGCAGACGGCACAGCCACACTAGTACTATTATATATGAAAGCATGGCAATAAGTTGCTTTTTGTCGAGCACAGGGTGTTGCAGCAAAATCCGACACTTGGCAAAAAGAAAACAAAATAGGCAATAAAAACAAAAGTTGTATCTGCAGAGACCCGACAGTTTGACAACTAACGTTTTTCTCTTTACCCTTTTCCAGGATGGAATATGAGCGCAGAGCAGCGGTAGTAGCTTCTTTTCGCGTCGGGAAGAATCCTGCTGAAGTGATGGCCTGGTTTGTGTTCAAGAGGACCATGGTCATGGGCATTTGGAGGAAGTGGACGGCGTGTGAGAACAAGGACGAGTTTACTGCCAAACGAAAGGCCCACAACGTTTGTTCTTCGGCCGTTAGGACCGACGAGTTCGTCGCCGCCGTCAAGGAGACAGTCGACAATGATGGAAGCCAAAGCTACGCCAAGATCGCAGCTGTCATGGGCTGTCACAAGTTGGCGATCTACCGAACGATCAAGAAGGACATTGGTTACTCCTCCTATCGCAAGTCTCACCGCATACTCATCACGAATGCCTCCAAGGAGTCGAGGAAGGTCAAGGCGACGGCTTTGCTGAATGAGCTCAAGCACGGGTCCGCCGGGATGCTGAGGTTCTGGTCCGGGATGAAAAGAATTTCATCCAGGACCAGACGAACAACAGGCAGAACGACAGGTGGATCTGCAAAGACATCGAGGAGGTTCCCGTCGTGAAGCATACGAAGTTTCCCTCCGTCATGGTCTTTGGCGTCATGCCTTCATTCTTTCAAAAAGGCCTGAAGTGTCAACGCTGAGATCTACCAGGAGGTGCTGAGGAGCGTGGCGGAGCCCTGTATGGACGAAATCGCCGCTGGACTCCGCTCCTGCACACAAGGCCAAGACGACCCAGGCGTGGCTGCTCAACAATGTTTCTCACCACTGGTCGCTGGACTTGTGGTCGCCCTCCTCACCTGACTACAGCACCCTTGACCATTTCTTCTTGGGCGTAATAAAGACCAACAAGCACGCCCACAACATCGTGGAGGCGTTCGCCGCTATGGACAAGGACATGGTCGCCAAAGCGTGTGACTCATTTCGCGCCCGCCTTGAGATGGTCGTCGCTGCCGCCGGCGGTTACATTGAAAAATAATGTCACTAACTGTTGCTAAATTAACTGTCGGGTCTCTGCATATACAACATTTGTTTTTATTGCTGATTTCGTTTTCTTTTTGTCAAGTGTCGGATTTTGCTGCAACACCGTGTATATAAGTTTTTATGCAGTTTTATTAGTAGCCTAAAAGATTTTGATGTGAAAAAGGTATCAGAGACCAGGAATCACGATTCGACATTCCCACTGAAATTGGAAGCTTCAAATTCTTTCCAAAGATTGCTTTAAAAGGTGCCAGACATTAACTGAACAAATTGAAACTAAATTGTAAATTCCGAATACACGCTTTAAATTTTTTTTTAATTTTAAACAGCTTACGACATTGACATCAGTTACTTAATTTTTATGCCATAATTCGTATTCAATTTGTTAAAAAACTCTTTCCTTAAATTTTTTTTTATGATTTTTATAACCTAGGGAAGGTTACTGAATAGAATAATTAAAACGAAGGTTGGTAATGAACGATAATACGTAGGACAAGAACAACACATATAAGATTCGCCAGCGGCGCGTAGATGTAGTAGTCAACTGCAAGAATCGAGTCAAGTGAATTCCACAAAGAATCTCCAACTGCAGGATATCTACCAACCACACCACGCGGTCAGGTGTGGCACAAGGCCGAATTTAACGTGGGGTAGCCGAGCCAGTAGGCCCAGTATAAAATTTAGATTGATAAACGTTTCGTATTTGTTCTTTATTATTCTGTCGGCTTCTGGTCCATATTTGATTATTAACTCATTGAGTTAATCAAATATGGACCAGAATCAGACAGAATGATAAACAAATAAGAAACGTTTATCCATCTAAACAAGTTTCACTTTTATGAAAGCTTCGTTATAGACTGAAAAAAAAAAAAAAAAAAAAAAAAAGGGCAACTACTCCCCCCCAAAAAAAACAGAATTCTGATATATTCAATTGTTCGATTCTCATTAGTCAGTCATGTATCATAGAAAAGTGAAAGATTACAACTACTACTAGACAGACACACATACACAATTACACATCATCCGATACCTGATTAGACATTAGAATTTTTACAAACATACATGCTTATAGAATTATTCATGGTTACAGGATACATTTGTTTTCTCACTCTCTGACGAAGCTTTAATAAAAGTGAAACATTAAATTGATAAACGTTTCCTATTTGTTCTTGTGTATATATATATATATATATATATATATATATATATATATATATATAAACCATAATCATTTTGTATAGATGTTAGGGAGTACAAGACGTAGTTAAAAAATAAAAAAAAAGTAGAAAAATTGCACAGGGGAAAAAGCTTATGTATAAAACGCACCTGTTTTTAGAGCGAAGAAAACGACCAAAACTTATGAAAAAGGGAGAGGAAAAACTGAGCATTTTGTTTACTTTTGTGAAAACGTGATAATGACTCTTGGAGTATAAGACCATTAAAGTCCTGGGTACAGATAACGATGAAAAAACATTCGACAGAAAATGATTGGGAAATTGTAGGTTTTGAGGAGAGTGGCACCAGCTCTTAATTGCTGTTCTCAGGTCCACCCGAGCCGGAATGTTAGGACCTTTTAGGGTCGCAGCTCAATTCCAAGGGGGGAAAAAGTATTTTCATTTATAAAACGCATCTGGATTTAAAGCAAAGAAAATGAATCAACAATACTTGTTGAGAAGAAAAAAGAGAGACAGAAAGAAAATACATTTTCATTTACTTCTGTAAGTCATAAACATTACAAAAAAGTGATAATGACTTTTGAAGTTAAGACCACTAAGAGAAAAAAAAAATCGAACTAGAATTCAATAGTTTTTTTAGGTTTTTTTTAAATTTTTTTTTTAGTTTCAATTACGAAAGATTTATTTCCCTTTGTTGCAATACACAATTAGATAGCTATTATTTCTCCATTAAACAAGTAAATCCAATTTTAGTAGATTTTGGCTGTTTTGAGTCCAAGAAAAATAGGATTTTGACCAGTGCTCAGATTTGCTTCATTTTCTGTGCAAGAATTCGTATTTCAGTTGCTAAAATGATTGTGTCTAATAAATAAAAAATAAAAAAATAGCAAATTTCACGAACTTTCATAATGGCCGTGTCCACACATTCGACTATAGTGAGCCATAATCAGTGCTGTGTCATTTGTGTATTACGTGAAAAACAGTAATAGTTGTAAATAGAGCATTTAGCGCAAAGTTAAATTTAATTAAACAGATCCAGAAGGCAGGAAGTCCGACTCGTTACAAAAATGAAGGCATTAAATAGGGAAAAAAAAAGTTTGTTTAAACATTCAGCTGCTAAGAAAGTTGGTTGTTGTACTAGACAATTTCTCTCTCCAGAATCCATCTTACATATCAATATAAGTCCATTATCTATGCTTAGAATATTACCATCACAAAAGGTTCCGTGCTCCTGCTACATATTTAGAGATTCTTGATAAAATCCAAAGAATCAGCAATATTATTGGTCGAGACCTAGCGTCTCGGCTTCAGTCACTTTCCTACCGCCATAATTTAGCTTCCTTGTGTCTTTCCTATAGTTTCACGGATGAGCTATCTATAAGTCTTCAGTCATGTGCCATGCGTGATACACGCTTAGACGATCATGTATCTTTCGATACATGACTGACGAGGCATATTTTCCCCATAGTAGGTTGCCATTTTTCTGGGGTAGACCAGTTGCTATCCAAAGCTATAGAACCCAATCTGTCCTGCTATTTACCCATAGCTGGGGGTGGAGAAGAATAGGATTAATACCTTTCCCAAGGGCATTAGCACGTAGGTGAATATAATGGATTCGACTGGAATTCGAACTCTGCCCTCCGATTCCTCAATCCGAGCCGCTATCCATTACGCCTCCCTTACACATCTTTAAATCTTACCATTCGTCCCTGCTTGGAATATTGTGTAACCAAAGTTTGAATTTCTAACTTGAAATGTTCTTGTCATCTTCAGAACCAAAACATTACCTAGTTTCTTCAAATATCTGAAAAAAAACTTTTTTTACTTTCTATCAGTATGGCTGATGCTAACCTCTAGGAGAGTGTCTCATTGCACCTTTTCTATTGACATGAAGTGGAAAGATTATATTGAATCAATTGCTAGATCCACTACTAGGAAAATTGGTTCCTTGTATCGTGCTAGATACTTTTTCTCGACAGAATGTATCCATATTTATAAGTTTACCCTTTGTACTTACTTTGAATATTGCTACCACATCCGGTCTGGTACTCTTGCTATATGTTGAGAGATTCATGATAAAATCCCAAGAAGAGGACTATACTGAATCCATTGCTAGGTCAGCTGCTAAGAAAGTTGGTTCATTGTGCCGTGTTAGACAATTTTTCTTTCAAGAATCTATCTATAAACCTACCATTCGTCAGATGCTTAGAATATTGCGGCCACATATGGTCCGGTGCTCCTGCTATTTACCTTGAGCTCCTTGATAAGATCCAAAGAATCAGCAATATTATTGGTCCTAATCTATAAACCTACTGCCTTTCAGCTCCATGCTTTCCAGCCAACTTTTAGAAGCAATGTCAACCGTTATGGACTGTCCTCCCGACTACTATTTTCTCTTCCCGCTCATTATTAAACGTTTCTGTTCCTAATTCTTCACAGCCTCTAGCCCTTTGTCTCTTAGTGGCTTTATTGCCTTGTATGGGGTGATACTGATTAAAACGAAATAACAAAAAGCGCTTTAATATAACTAAATTTATATAATTCTTGAATAAAATATAAAATAACGTATTTGCTAACAACTGTTTGATTTGCTTAAATCACAATGGCGTCAAACGTGGAGTTGTTTGAGATTTAGTTAAATTTGAGTACATTTGCTTATAAGACGGATGAAGAGACTTGCAACAACGGTGAATGCTGATATGGACAAGACAATTGAGCAAAAACAAAAAAACAAAAGGGATTAAGACTTCCGATCAGAAAGAGATAAAATTTATAGGACCTCAAGAGAAAAGAGGGCTTAGAGAATTTAACGCTCGTATTGAGTAAGCTATTTAACAAATATGAATAAATAAGAAAATAAATTTTGGAGAGCCATGATCATATACGCACCAAGGAAAAAAAAATAACTTCCCTCGATTACGGAATCTATCATTATTCCGTGATCAGATCTTTACGTAGCAAAGAGATTAGACTAAATTTTAGTTATCAGGACTCACCTGAAAACTTCCATAATTTTTTTTCTTTCAATAACGATTCTTGTCATTTATAATCAGAATATAAACGCAGTCGGCCTGCCACTGCGAAGCCTGTCAATAAAATCATTTTCATTGCCATTAACTCTACTAACCCATTGGATTTACATTCTCCAAGGAGTTCTGCGCAGGGCCCGTTTTAAGCCTATTTCACCAATTTTATCAAATTGGGCATCAGAGTTATCGTTTGAAGCCATTTTCTGTATTCTAAGAGGAATAAACCACTACTTAAAACGCGAAAGAAAGGAGAAATTCTTATTCCTAATTTATTATGTATACTATATTAACAGAAAATTGTCATGACACTTCAATCAACAAACAAAAGGTTATGCTTTTTTTAACCAAAAGATAGAGTTCGTTTAGGTTACTCTACGAT